TGGCAAATCAGTTAGTGAGGTTGTAAATCATCATCCACTGAGATGGTTGGGCCACGTGCTACGTATACCTGAACACCGATTACCATGATGAGCAATGGTGACTAGTGTTAGAGACGGATGGAAGGAGGTTAGAAGCGGTCAAACCATAGCGTGGCATCAGTTCATAAAGTCACTAACTTCTGATCTGAGCCATGTTGTTAGATGCAGACTACTTGGTTTGGATCCATGCGATTATCGTAATCAGTAGTTGTAGACTGGGTGATATGGCTCAGAATCGATCACAATGACACAGGTGTATACACTCTTCGTTTTCCCTTAAACTGTAAAATTAAAGCTATTTTATTCCTTTCTTTTTATGAACTAAATCTTTCTTCGTGTATCATATCCTTATATGCTATCCTTTTTTGTATATTATCATCATTCAAGTAACTACTTCTATGAATTTGGTGTTCACTTTTTGTGCTAGTGACGTATGGGAACTTGGACCTATGCTTATATGTGCCTGATACAAAGTTGTGGATGATTGACTGACTCCAATACACCATGTATAAGAACTACTTCTTCAATGCACTCTCAACGTCCAATTTAAATTTAACAATGGATCCTATCAAGTTACTGAAGTGGTCACCACTCCTCCCACTTCTAACTAACTATTTTATTGCTAATTTCAAAAACTATATATATGATTCATACGAATCACTCGATCGCTATTTACGGTCACAAAATAATTTTTTGTTCAGAAGAAATCCAAACAACTGCTCACATTGTCTACCAGCGTCAAGTGACGGTAACTTGTTTGGGCTTCAATATCAAATAATACATTCAAAAATGAAAGATACTCTAATCATCTTCACCTATGAATTACTCCCATAAATATTTAGTATTAGTTCAATAGTTGAATTCACGGCTAGATCTAAGCTAGACCACCATTAAAAACCTGAAAGCACTGAACGGCACATCAACGATCCCACACTTTGAGATTAGTTCAATAAGCAATTTTCAATTTCTTATAACATCTATTTACCAAATGTTATTTGATTAATATTAATTTAATCACTAATTTTGAAAAATACATACGAATATATTCAAGTAGATTCATTACGCAAAGGTCATTGAAAGGAAATACACCTATCATCGATTTTCAATTCCTAAATGCTTAAATAAGCATGTTTGTTTAGTTATAACTACTGTACAGTTAATCTTACATTACTACTATAGGGGTTGTGGAGATTATTAGGTTTTTGATTGAGATCATGAACCGATTGATGTTAGACCACCTTTGGATCATCATTGGATGCCGTCTCCGTGGTCTAGTAGGTTAGGCGTTCGCGCGCGAGACCGAAGGCCCTTGGTTCGAATCCCGCTCGAGGGGTCATGGATGCGCACTGCTGGGGAGTTCCACAATAGAACGAAATGGCCGTCCAGTGCTTCTAGGTTTCCAAAGGTGGTCTAACGTCAATCGGTTCATGGTCCCAATCAATAATCTTACACTGATATATCACATAAAAGAAATTGTAAACCTGATAAATATTGACAAACATACTATAAATAAATTTATATTAGATATTATCATTGTATCACTATTCAATCATCATCATAAACGCAATTATAATCAAGTTGAAACAAAATAGAAATATATGAAACACATATGTCTTGATATTCTGTGGTAGGTAAACAAATTCAAATGAAATAAAATGATATTTTAAGATAGGGAAATCTGTTACCTATTGATTACGCAATACAGCGAATATGGTGAATATCTATGGGGAAAGTATTCTTATTTTTGTAGACATTATATTTGATTAACGAAAAGAAATCAGTATAGATATATATCCTCTGTGTTTATAAGTGCATATAAAAGATTTATATAACACTTTATATTTATGATGAGATTATGATAATAAGAAAAGAAAAAAAAAGAGAAAAGTAAAGAATCTATTGACCATTTGATTAGTTTAACACCAAAATAGCAATAAATCAATAAATATACATTACTTAAACAAACCATAATCTCATTGAATGAAATTACAATTACATTTCTATCATTAGTTACTTATTCAAGCATCTTATATCGAATTCATAAATATCATTTTAATAGAGTTTTCAGAAACTATTTCATTCTATCCCATATTATAAACATTATGATATTTAAACAAAGGATAATGTTAACAATAAATTATCAAGAAAAAGTACTTCAGTTTTCAATAGATGTTAATGACTAGACTAATGTCTACTTCTTATGTATTCACATACTTCTAAAATATATATTTCGATTAATAAAATAAAAATATGGGATCCATGGATCCATATCACTCTGTTACGATCAATTTTCTTAATGATTCATTTAAATAACACCTTTATTCAGTGAGTTAACTTCAATACTTGTTTGGATAACAAAACCGATGACAATTTTATTGATTTGTATTTCCGATGATATTAAATCGTTATATGATGTGTGCTACTTATATCGAGATAAATAGTATATAACCCCAATCAAAAATAGAAGACTTGTCAGTAAAAGGTTGATAAGAGGAAAGAATGGGAACAGAGAGTAATGAGTACGGAAATGAAGGAATAATGAAGTCTGAGACCATTAATGAACATTGTGCAAATAAAGTATGATTTTTACATAACTATAATTTTGTGTTAAAATATAATCGTTTAAAGATCCCCGTCATATTAAAAGACTAATATTTGAACGAAGAATTTATCGAAAAGAATATTCTTCGTTCAAATATTAGTCTTTTAAAATATAATCGTTTCTCCGCGTCGATATTCTCATTCACAATAATTACACAACACTAAAAATCTTAGAAGAGCAACAATAAATGTGATCTTTATTAGTTTGTTTTTAATAATGTTCAAAATGAATTTGAAACTGTTATTTGTGAAATTAAAAATCTCAGTAATTCTCTCAACCGTTTTTTTCTGTAGTTGACATTTGTTTTACTGGAACAATTTTTCCTTCTTATATGTGAAAATTCTATTTGAAATAATTTAAGCAATTGAAATTTAAAATAATTTCAATGTTTCGTCCATCAAACTTGTCTGAACTTCTTCAGGGTAATCATCAAAATCAAAATCACCAAAGAAATATATAGCGTTTAACAATTAAATCAAATCAAATGTACACTGTGCTAATCAAGCCATATTTGAATGTTGATTTTGAGTGAATAGGATAACATGAGTAAGTCAAATGCGAAACATGTGAAAAGTTCACGATGTGAAAATAAATGACTGAAACGAGTTGTGTATGTGTGTATGTATGTATAAGATTGCGTTATTAATGAATGATATTCCGTGTTGATATGCTGTTATATGATGGAAAACTAAAAGTGTAAATTGAAAGTTGAAAAAAAAATGTTTCTGCATCATTGAAGTGCAAGTAAAGATGAGAATCATCAAGTCAAAATGGTATTGCTAAAAATAGCTCACATTTATTTCAGTCAAAATAACGATGCCTGTAAAATAAACAGGTTGAATAAAGATAGGGTCAACGAATAGTTGTCAAGTAATCGTTAGTTGAGGACCATCCTATCGATTCAGCCTGTTCATGTTCGCCTATATATACAGGAGTTTCGCTGTCAATCTTTCTTTGTGAGTGTTAAGATCTTTCTCAAGTATTTTGGTCCCCGAAATTAATCTAATTTATTTTTAGCAATACAATTATGTTTTTGATGACAGATAATTCCCATTTAAAGATTAACAATTGAAAAACACGAAGTTCAGTGAAGGAATCTCTTTTCAACGAATTTATTATCAAGCTGATGATTCTCATCTTTACTTGCACTTCAATGATGCAGAAACATTTTTTTTTCAACTTTCAATTTACACTTTTAGTTTTCCATCATATAACAGCATATCAACACGGAATATCATTCATTAATAACGCAATCTTATACATACATACACACATACACAACTCGTTTCAGTCATTTATTTTCACATCGTGAACTTTTCACATGTTTCGCATTTGACTTACTCATGTTATCCTATTCACTCAAAATCAACATTCAAATATGGCTTGATTAGCACAGTGTACATTTGATTTGATTTAATTGTTAAACGCTATATATTTCTTTGGTGATTTTGATTTTGATGATTACCCTGAAGAAGTTCAGACAAGTTTGATGGACGAAACATTGAAATTATTTTAAATTTCAATTGCTTAAATTATTTCAAATAGAATTTTTATATACAATGACTTCTGTATACTCAATGCCTAATTTTTGTCAAACTATTCATTTTAATATTGACGAATATTCATATAAATATTTCTTTGTTGTTTTAATCAAGTAATTTTATGTTATATAACCATTATTTCATAATTTAATGATACTTATGAGACTATACTATATACTTTGAACATTGAATGAAATCTCATTTGTTTTTCAACATTTTTATTTATACTTCACGGATTAAAATCATGAGGCAATTGAAGCTAGACCATCATGGAAAACCTGGAAGCACTGGATGGCACGTTTCGCCCTAGTATGGGACTCCTCAGCAGTGCGCAGCTACGATCCTGCACCCCGCTAGATTCGAACCCAGGACCCATCAGTCTCGCGCCAAGCGCTTAAACAACTAGACCGCTGAGCCGGCATCTAACAGTGTTCAACCAGGTCTGTTGTGAGATATAAACTCATTGAAGACAATGGTGTACGGTGGCACAATTTCGTGTATTGGTTGAAGTTAGACATTAACACCGTTGGATACTGTCTCAGTGGTCTAGTTGGTTAGGCGCCTGTCGTGAGACCGATGGTTCCTGGGTTCGAATCTCGCGCGGTGCGGAATCGTAGACGCGCACTGCCGAGGAGTCCCATACTAGGGCGAAACGGGCCATTCAGTGCTTCCAGGTTTTCCATGGTGGTCTAGCTTCAATTGACTCATGATTTCAACCAGTAGAATTTCTAAAATCTCCACAAACCCCTTCTGATTTTATTTATATATTAGAAAAAATTTATCGATTGTAATAAGTTTTTTTTTTAATTTTCACTTACCGAATACGTAAACCATTATAAACACTTGATAAACCATCTGTAGCTTTTATAATTAATCGTTGTTCATTTGGTTTTATAATTGTAAATCGATTATCTGATTCAATAGGTGCACCATTACCAAATATGGCAATAGGTGATAAACCGGTACGTATAGATAAACATTCAATTTCAAATGGATGAAATGCAGGGATATATATGATATTAGGTCGCATTATTAAATCCACTCCTAATTGAAAATAATTAAACAAAAGAAAAATAGTTTTTTGAGTAAAACATAAATAATCTAACTGAAAATGTGATTAATATGATAGAGCATAATCTTATGTAATTTTATTATAAGGTTCAGTTTAGATAGGAGTAATGATATAACTGATAAGTGAGTATATGAAACATTCTCTTAAAAGAAATATCGCATTCAACATCTAAAATGTAGATAATCAACGTTTGTGTTGCATATTTTGTTTTCATTCGAAATTGTTGATTCCTTTCTGATTGTATCATCTATTATAATGCAAATAGAACTACTGATTTCTTCATTGAATATTGGATATGTTATAGGTCGAAGAAAAAGAAAATGGAATTAACTGTTTTATTGCCAGAAAATGATTTCCTTAAAACTAAAGGAGATTTTTTCTCATTCTAATTCAAAATGATTGGAATACGTGTCAAAAACGCTTTGATAGTTTTGTCCGGAATTACAAATGAAAGCGTTGTATAATGTAGGTTATGATATATTGAACCTCATCAAATAATAAGCAAAGTTAATAGAACTAGCAAATGACTGATAATAGATGTTACCGTTTTACATACATTTTAATGTAAGCTTAATCATTCTGATATAATCATTATTGACAGATGAATTTATCAATTACATTTTGATTTCATTAATTAGTCATGAGAATTTCTAACAATTTAAGATGGATGCACACTGCTGAGGAGGGCGAAACGGCCGTCCAGCGCTTCCAGGTTTTCCATGGTGATCTAGTTTCAATTGACTCATAATCTCAACTAATGAAATTTAATATTTATTTTAACGTTTCTACATTGAACTACTTTCGTCAATCATTGGTTCACATCTAAATTTCAAAATGATGCTTTTCTAGATTATTGCTTTGTAATCATTTATTATTATTATAAATGTAAACTAAAATTTCATGACAGGATAATGATATTTATTTTCTTTTCACATAGTTTCTATTGTATCACTTTTGTAAGTACTACAAATTTGGTAAACTTATGACTGTTATGTTATATGCAATATTATGACTGTACATATACTGTATTATATTACCGCAATAATCTCAATGTTTCTAATGACTAAATGACTTGTTTATGATTGAAAACAGAGTGACATGTTTTGGAATTTTCGATGTTAATATTACCTAAATGTACATTAGCTAATTTTTACTTATCTTCTTTGTAGAGTATAGAAATAATGGATTTAGTTGTTTTTTTTTAAAGGTTAAATTGTTTTTATAAGCTACTCTTTAGAATGATAGTCTTTTATGTTGAATTAACATGAACTGAGTTGTCTGTATTTCATAAATCCGTCTATGACTGACCTTATTATTGGACAGTAACACTGATTGATGTAAAAAAAATATATTGCTTGAAATTTGAAGCAGTTGTTAAACATTATGATATCGTTTCTTAATGAAATTCAATTCATGATTATAATAAATGTAACTGTGGATACCACGGGATATACACACATTTTATGTCCATAACGACTAATAAGTTAAGTAAAGTGTTGTATACTTCTTGTTCTCAATATGACTTCTGTGATAAATATATATACATATAATGTTGAAACAAGATAATCATAGAAATACAATGAATATCCCTATAAAAATGTTAAGAAGACCTAGAATATATCACAATTACTTAAAAGTATTAAGTCAAAGTAATAATCTCATGAAACGATATCTTCAGATTCCCTTATATAAAACAACAATTATACATCGATCGATAAAATATGTAAGCAATACTGAGCAAATATGCTGCTGATAGGATTAACGAAACATGTGAACTTATTCTTAAATCAAGATTTGAAAGAGAGCGATGTATTACTAGCAATGATGGAAATGAGTATTTTAATCAACTACACACTAGTGGTCGTTACTTGCTTAGTTTTAAATATAATCCGTTGTTATGATTTACTTCTAAAGACCACATAAATATTTGCTAACAGGAATTTAGGTGATTTCGTTGAAGTCTAAACAGTTTGTTAATAAAATTTGTCTCAGATAATACAGCACTTAAAGCACCCTCATTCTAAGCTAAAAATATTCCTTATAACCTTAGATGGTTTCATTAAATATTATAAAGTACTTGATCTTGAAACGTGGTTATCATCATAGTAGATGAATGAGATGAGTATAAACGTAAACGAGGACAGATTTTTACCTGATTTCTCTGCTGGTTTTGTTTGTCACCTTTTCAGTCCTACATTTGTAAGCATGGTTCTATGTTGCATAGTTTTAACATTATTACTAAAAACGTTGATTCTAATCACAATTCATGATTGTTATTCACACACATCTATCATTTACAACTTGACAAAAATTATAATGACTGTGTTCAACTTATCGATTGAACATTTTTCAGGTTCGATAAATCATATCCTTTAATTATCACTTCTTTATTTAAAATTATGTAGTCAAGATGCACATAGAGACTAACTAAATCCTAAACTTTATTCACTTAATCATTGACCTATAATTTATCACATATATATGATCATATAGTTTCGAATATAAAATCATCGAAAACATTCCCTTAGTTAAATAAATTGGTTTGGAACTTAATGTGTTCCATAAAAATACCAACATGAAATGTCTTGTTGTCACTGAAGATGTGAAAGTTGGGAGCTGCTGGTTGAAGTGGCTTATTATAGAAATCAATGTGAGGTGAATATGGGTTTCTTTAAAAAAACTATCGGCTAATTGTAAATATTTTGTTGATGAAAACTTAATTATTCCAAATATAGATCAATATTTGTTAACAATGACTTCCGAGGTGATAAAAACCCTCTTGTCTTGTATCAACTATGAGTGCTCAAGTAGATATGACAGAATAAAATTTATATTTATTGTCTCAAGACTATCGTAAAATAAGGGTAATGAAAAGGGCATGAAATACATTTAGATGTTATCACTTGTGCTAGTGATCAAGAAATGTTTAGTCTCACTTTTCGAATAGCTACGTTATATGTTATGTACTTCAGTGAGAGCAATTGTCTAGAAGACAAATTAAACAACAACCATAAATTGGGTCTCTATAAGACGTAAATATCAAGGCGGGACGTTTTTCTTTTGATGACGGCCTGACATGGCTATTAAAAAAAATAATGTCACATGGCTTCCTAGACATTACACAACGTATGGAAATTGATCAATTGTATTTACGGTTTGAGAAGACTACTAAAGCTACCAAATGTTATTCACAACAGACTATTGTTACTAACTCTTTAACAGAAACAACGTAAAAAACAAAACAACTTTTTAGGGCCTTATCTATCAAACATTATAAACGGAGACGGATCATGGCTAGTAACGGAAACCATGGTGCACGTTTGGTCCTATTTGTAGCTCGTCAGCTGGATGTACCTGAATCCCATAGATGATCTTCACTCCGGACCTAGAACTCAGTACCGTTTGGCTTTAAACGCCATAGCGTTATCCACTTAGTTGCTGAATCAATATAACTACTAGCATATGCAATGAGGTGAGGTTTTAATTCATTTCTGTTTCAGTTGTTTGAGTCTTCCCATCCAGCTGATGAGTCCCAATCAGAACGAATCGCGCGTCCTGGATTCAACTGATAGCCACCATCCATCTCTGTTTATAATGCTTGTGACTTAAGGCAATATCGAGTCACTCCTCACAGGACCCACATATACTAATAAGAGACCAACCACTTGCAGTCCTAAACATCAATTTGAAGATTCAAACAGCAAATACAAAAACGAATTTATCCATCAAACTTCCTTAACTAGTATATCGATAGTTCTTTTTCTCTTTTCCTATGACATGTTTCTAGTCCCTACTTTATTCAACCTCCTCATGTTACCCAATCATAGTTGCAGCCAACGTTTATTCTGTTATTTTCGAATAAATTGTGTTTTTATTGATTCTTTTGATGACTTTTGCAATCAAACAAGCTCTTATATTACTATTTTCTTATTTCCACTAGAAAATAGTTTATTCTTTTTTCTCATTGTCTTTGTCACTTCTGCTTAACTTCATTCCATATCTTGTAAAATCGTAGCTAATGATGGCATTTATCAAGTTTTCATCTAAGTTTACTCACCATTTTAAATACAAAAGATACAGTAAATCATTAGAAGTGACAATTGGTGATCACAGCATACGTTTCATGAAATTTCAGTGTTATCGTCATAGCAAAATTACTATTGACGTTTCATATAAATGACTGAGTACATCAATTACACACATACTAGAAACTACCGGGTGGATATTGATTTATAATCTCAGCTGACGCAGTAATGTAGTCTACTTTGTATCTGCGAAGATAATTAACCTATGTTTCAGCTGATTGTATATATTCCTTTCCTATTTTGTGATCTTTAAGGAAATGTTCAACACCCAGTATATTTGATCATATCTAACAGTGGATTTTAAGTCGTATGTTACATTATATTTTAGTCTCCTTAAATGAATGAAAATTTCAATGTTATTGTTCATAAAGAAATTTGAAACCATTGATTTTTTCCTCTAAACTTTAACCCATTTTTCTCAGAGCAGCTGAGTTCAGATAGTCATTAACTTGTTAATCTGGTGTTAAGCTGTAAGGGTTTTAGTTTTCCTATTGTTGATGTCAATGGACTACAATTGATTAATCTTCACTATTATGTATACGATCTGAGCGGTTTGTCTCGATATGATCACTTAGTTACAGGTTTTAATAAAATAAGATTACTGTTTAAAAAATTTTATTTCTTCTGGTTTAATTTAATGACCCTCCATAAAATTATTTTAAATGTCTGGGAAAAATTATTATGGATAGATACAAAGAAATTAACATCGAGAATTCATCATCATGCACCAAGTTAAAAAAATAGTTTTTTTGTTAAAAAAAATTAACCATTTCTTGAATGTTGTTCGTTCAATTCATTGAAACCTTATAGTTCTAAATAAATAATTTTGATTATCATTCATGCTTATAATGAGTTCAATAGTAAATTCACTTAGTATTGTTTGGCTTGTATCTTCCCATTGAGGTTTAAGACTGCAATTGATCAATCTGTTATTGGCAATGTGCATACTGTGCATACAAGCCAAACAATACCAAGTGAATTTAAATTCACCTCATTGCACAAGCAAGTGGCTATCAGGACTCAGTAGTTAAGTGGATAACGCGAAAGGGTTTGAAGCGAATAGTACTGGGTTTGAGTTCCAGAGTGAACATCAACCCTGAGATGCAGGTACATCCAGCTGACGAGTCCCAAATAGGACGAAACGCGCGTCCTGAGTTCCACTGCTAGCCACTACCCATCTTTGCTCACAAAAAGAGTTCAATAGTATTTTTAACTTTTCAATTATGATAATTGACAAAAATGTTTATCTGTGTAGTATATTACATTCAATTGATTAAGTGCTTTATGTTTACAATTGATTGATCACTGAGTTGTGATCAATGCCATGTATTTCAGGTCCTTCTTAGTGCAAATAGTTCGATGGTAACGTCTCTGACAATGTAGCTGGGTGACATAAGATCGAATCCGCCTGGGAGTATCAGTTCCTTCAAGATTGCAGGTACAACTTGCTGAAGAGTGTCAAGTAGCACGAAACCTAGGTTTTCCTATTGAATAACCCCAACTACCATTTTATTTCAACATAGTGTTTGATGTCAATGTATATATATCTTATCAATATAATTAATTAGATTAGCCCTTAAGTTTGGTGATAGCTTAATATGAATAAAACAATGAACTAAACAATTAGTGTAGTAAGAAACAACTAATTTCTTTTTTCACGTGAAATTTTAGATAATAATAATTGTTGACTTTTGAGGAATTCAAGACTTTTTTTAAGTGGCTATGCAGAAACATTTAATTCCTGGTAAAATAAATCCAGGATTTTTGAATAAAGTTTTATTAAGGCTTACCTGTACCATCGTCAATAGATATCGTACTGTTAAAGGTAAGTACCATACTGTCAAGTCGGGCAACACACTGATACCGACCAACATCATCTGGGGTAAATCTCTGTATATGGATATCTGCTTGTCGTCCAATAAGCACGCCGTCTTTAAACCACTCATATGATACTAATGGGGGTGTAGGAGAAACAATGCATTGTAGGTGTACAGCATCATTATATCTGAAATATGTAGGTGATTGAATAATTCGAATTGTATAGAGTCTATCAGGTTCTGGAATTTCTGTTGATGTCCCGGAAACAACCAATTCTACACTCTAATAGATTGGAGAGAGAAAAGTAATCACGAATGTCAGCTAAAGCATTATTAATTTCAACCTTTTAAATTGCTAACATTAAAAATTAAACGAGTCTTCTAAACTCTTCAAACTAAATCCATATCATAGTCTTATATCTATTATAAAATTATTTTTTCAAACTTTATTCAACTCATGATAACTTGTGACTCTGTTCACTACGATGTGGTAGTTAAATGGTTGCAAATAATACTACTTTGTTATTGAGACTATCGCTTGAATTCCATAATTGAAAAAATAATTTCTGAGTAACTAGTTTGAAATTTTTCTAAATTTGTTATCGGTCCAGCTATTAGGTAGATGGTAATGGCAAGTACGGAATATGAATAATTGATAGGAATTCAGTACTGTTTTAAGCATAAAATTGAGTTTCTGACATTTGGTTATATAAAATTGGCAAAACAATTATCTCTAAATATTATTAGGGAAATCGAATTTTAATGAACATACTTGACGTAAAATAATTTGATTCGGTAGTAAGATTTGGCATGTGTATCTACCTTGATGATGAGGTTGGAAACGTTCAAATACTATATTACTAGAATCGGAAACTACCATTCCATCTGGACCAAGCCAATTAATTCTAGCAGCTGAATTTGGTGGTCTTGGAGAACACTCTAATTCTAACCGTGCATTTAAATAAAGGGGACCAGAGACTTCTCGAATTACAACAGAATAAGTTGGTTCTACTTCACCATTTCGACCTGTAATAAAATTCAATAATTTTAATAATTACATAAAAATTTTTCAAGTTTTTTCGTTTTTTTTCACGGTTTTGATACTTAGAACTACATTTCAGTCAGCTTATGTCTTTATTAAACTCTAACAGATGATACTGAGTTTATCAAGAGGGGGGTAATTGTACTAGCAACGTTACCCTTGTCTGTTGTATTTTTGAAGAACATGACAGTGGACTTGGATGAAATGAAAAAATAATAAGTAGAAATACGTGTAAATCCTCGTGAAATTAAACAGGTAATGTAGCTTACCGATTTTTTACATTAAGTTATGTGTTTCATTTAACTATTCCTGTTAAATCAAATTGAATTATAATCATTGACTGTTAGGTGCATGAAAAACTGATTAAACAAATTCATATGATCATATATTTTCCAATTCTTACCATCCATAGTTATATAAGCACTCAGATCTCTCTGATAGCCAGAATTCAATCCAGTGATACGAACTGAATATCGTCCAAAGTCTGAAGGACTTTGAAACTTGATACGTAGATCTGGCCCCATCGAATCAAGAATTGGATTCATTTCTGTGTCTAGCCACTGGTATATAAAAGTTTCACGAGTAGTAAGATTTGGTTTAGATGAATCAACTGGTACTATACGACGATGTGTAAAACCTCCAATATTTAAGTCCTCCTCTATGGTTGTAATCTGGAAACGTAGTGCTGAAGAAGAACAAAATGTTAAGAATCACAAACTGTACAGTTTTACTGTTGAATACATTATTGAAAATTCACCTATATTATCAATGAAATCTAATAGTGATCTTGAAGTATGCATCTAAAGTACACTGATTAACAGTTGTAATGAATTACAAATAACTATGATAAACAAAAGTCTAGATCAAATAAATAATCAAGTATGAATCCTCAGCTACAAAATACCTTTCTGTAGTTGAATAATGATATTATGATGGCAATAGTAAATATTTAGGTCTTAGTTTATTTATTACTAATAGAAACTTATTTCTCAGTACAAAAAGTAGAAAATCATTAAAAACTAGAAAGTACTGAAAACTCGAGTTTGGAGAAATCTTACGATTCAGTGTAGTTTCCCTTTTCCAGTACTCCTTTTTGTTTCCGAATATTTATTGAACCACGCGACTCTTGCTACATGTTTTTGGGTTTTCCTTATCTTCCTTTTCCACAGTAAATTTATCAACGTATTTAGCAATGAATAAATGTTTCAAGTCGAATACAACTCGCTTACAATTTACTAAACTTTCTTTTCTGCTTTAAAAGTAAGACGTATTTCTCATGCCCCATAAAATATAATTGTACCTATTTGAACGAACTATACGTTGAGAACATAAACAGTATCATCAATCTTACGTGCTGTTGTTACAATTAGGTTATTCTCGACTTGTAATCTCCCTTCTTCAACTGGACTAGCCACACATCGGTAAATACCTTCATCTCGTTGTCTTGTTATATAGTCTCTTTGAAGAAATGCGGAATTAGATATTAAACGATCATCTGGACCAAACCATTGGAAGTTATACTGAGATGGCTTTGCACTGACCACTTGACATTCTTGCAAAATATCACCTGTTTCTAAAACTTCTAATACGTTTCCACGAATTCCTGGAAATATTACACCGGCACCTATTCGATAAAAGTAATACCAAAGATTTGACATTATTACAGAATAATATTTCGATATGTTTATAAACAGAATAACTTGAGATACTTATAAAGTAGTTGTCTATTTCAGAATATTACTGATACTGCAGTAAACAAATGGGCACTGTGAACACTAGAAATTGTTAGTTTACGAAACGGTTTTAACGTCCGCTTGGTAAAGTCTGACCAAAATAACACAGTTCAAGGTATTTGTGTATTTTAAAAAAGTTCATCCGATTTTTAAATAATACTGATGATTAAAATTCACAAAAATTCTTAAACAACTTTAAGTGAATGAAGCAAACTACCTGTAGCATCAATGAAGATTCAGTAAGTCAGTCAGTAACAACGTAGAACTTCGTACGTACGTACATCAGTTCGAGTTGCCACACCACATTAGCACAGAGATGCAGTTGTCGACTCAAATTCCGTAATGGTAGAGGCAGTAAGACCATAAACAGTAATCGGAAACATTAGGGTTTGAAGATGTTATTCAAGGAGTATAATACAGTGAAGTAAATTTGGAAAGAAAATTAGGGACATGAAGAATCCAAAGGATTAGAATCTGAGAGAACACAAAGAGTGGATGCACTTGCGCCATTCCAAACGATTTTAGCCATGTCATTCAAGGTCTCTAATCATCGGTTGTTATCAATGAAGATTAAACAAGATGTATATGTCAACAACCACAGAACTATTTCTAGTAATTTTTTTCTATGGTAAGAACTTAACCTAGGGGAAAAGTAAATAAGTTGAACTGTAGTTTTCAAGTTAAAAATTAAATGAGACAAGAGCGATTAAATCAAAATCCCTGATAGTCTCTTTAGATTAAAAATTTTGCATTTGTCCTTTCTATTTTTATAATATTTAAAGGAAATTAGAAAAAGATTATCTTCCTTTAAAGTTTACGTCAAATCGTGAATATGACAGTAAGTAAGATATTATATGATCGAAATTTGGACTATAAAAAATAAATCGAAAATTTGTCGAATTATTTACCACATCAGAAAATCATAAAAGCAATTGAATATTACCGGTTAATTACAGCTGTCATGACCATGAGATTAGTGTGAACAATTTAAGAAATCAACAAGTCGTAGAATTTCGGGAGAAACTAAAGTACGTGATTTAGACAAGCTTTACAATATTACCGTAAGCAAGTAGTATATTGGAAGCAAATATGATTATAAAGGTAGATGAAATTAGTGAAAAAAAAACCATGTTTCGATATCTACTTTTATTTTATGTCTATACTCTTCACTTAAGCTAAAAAAAATCAAATAAGTATATTGTTTTTGTTTAACATGTATCCAGCTTCATTACTTTACTCATATATTATCAGAACAGGTTTTTATGTTGAATTTAGCAATTTAATAGTTGAATTTATGAGTCAATTAAAGCTAGACCACCATGATAAACCTGGAAGCAATGAATGACCGTTTCGTCCTAGTATGGGACTCCTCAGCAGTGCGCATTCACAACAATAGTGAATGGATTGGTTGAAGTTAGACAATAACATCATTGGATGTCAACTCAGGGATCTACAGGTTAAGCGTTCGTGCGCAAGACCGACAGGTCCTGGGTTCAAATCTCTCGGGGGCGGGATCTTGGATGTGTACTGCTGAGGAGCCTCATACTAAGATGAAACGGCTCTCCAGTGCTTCCAGGTTTTTCATGGTGGACTAGCTTTAATTCACACATGAATTCAACAATTATATTATATATATATATATATATATATATATATATATATATATATTGAGCAGTAGTGTTTGAAAGATATATTCTTCAATATTATAAATCTTTTAATTACTGAATTTGAAAAATATGAATAATCATACCAAAGTTGAGCGTACCACGACAGAACAGTGGAACTAATGTATCTAAAACAACAATATGGCACGTGCTGAATTCAAATTTAACAATAACAATCCTTATTAAAAGTTGTATGTCAGCTTATTAGCCAGAAGCATTTTGGTCTTGTGTATGTGATGTACTTAGGGTAGTATCTGCACTAGTATATTCTTTTAACGAAAAGGCTTTTCCAACTTTGAATTGAATGAATCCTTTTAACTAGTTCTATCAAACTGTTTCACAATAAAAAATACACAGAAAAGGTTTACTTTCAAAAATATGAAAGCGTTAATTATGTGCACAGTTATCCCCATGAGATAAGTTTTTTTTGAAAAAGTTGTATAATTAATCAATCAAAAACCGTTTTAATAAATATTGAACGACCGATTAACCATTGTGTTATATCCGGTACGAGAATAAATGGATGGTATGCGCTAGCAATTATTTATGGACAAATATCATATGTATATTCTTAATGTATGACTATTAAGTAACTATATTATATGTATATTCATATTCCTTTCATTATAGGCTTTTATTTCATCTATTGATTATTATCATACGATTTACCATTCTTGAAATATTCATAATTTATTAGTAACAGTTTCTCAAAATCACAGTCACTTTTGGCATGATTATGTACAAATGTTTCTATTTAATGTTGTGATATGGTTTGATTTTAGTTGTATATATCCCAAGAATGCTTGAAAGATATGATTGGTATGGAGAAGGTTGATATTGGCGTTCTGGACTAAAGCGACTAGATTAACAGAGTGGCTATTATTCTCAGTAGACCAATAAAAACCCTAAGCTGCTTGTAGAGGTTCATGCGTCATTAGTCTGAATGTTTAGTTCAGCGTATCTTAATTGGCAATCGTATTTCACCATAATCGTATAACTAAAGATATAACAGATTGCCAAAGGTCTACGATATAAGTTTTAGCATTGGAAATAACTGCAGAAATGGAAAAAAAAGAGCTAATTGTTATAATATCAACTCCAAAATATGAACTGCTATAAATTCAGCAGTTTTAACAATAAATACTGTACTAATTCCGATACATAATCCAATATGTCATCATATATTCATATGTAAAGTTGTTGGATACAAAATATAAGCTTGATTATAACTTGAGGATACCATATACATTTAGTCTATATGTGGTTGACTGAATAAAATCATTGATTTGTACTAAACTATTTTTCATTATTCATAAGTCATTATGTTAACTTGAATCAATATTTTTCATCATAAGGCATTGTTATTTTAATCAAATAATAAGGCTACTTATATGAATCATTTTTCTCTTAGAAACTGTTTAAATGTTACTGTATACATTTTTATAATACTGTATATTTCAGTTAATAATCAGTTTGACATTCAATGATACCTCTCATTATATATTGATTGGATTGTTTTATGAACATTAATTCTAATTAATGCTCTAATAAAATGTTTGACCTTTTTCATCGTATTTTAAGAAATAATATTCGTCTACTAATACAGTTTGTTATAATATGTGAATTGATTAACACGGTTATTTTACCACCAGTATCATTAATCAATTCAACGACATGAAGATGATTTGGTTGTTTGTCCTTCCTTATTTTGTTTAACCGGTTTCAATATTATTTGCATGGTCCATTATTTAAAGTCTAATCATATTAATATTAAACTGATCAACATATTTCTTCAACAAGTTTCTTATTCCAATTCATGAGTTAGTGATATATTTATGCAAAATCAACGACTAATCTTATTTTGTTGGTATCATGACCCGAACTAATTTAGGCAACTACTGAAACCTGGAACTGGTGGACGACCGTTTCTTCCTAGTATGTAAATCTTCAGTAGTGGGCATACACATCCCCGCACGCAGGAATCGAAACAAAAACCTCGGGTCTGACGAGAGAACGCTCAACGTATAGACAACTGTCTTGGCATTCAATGCTGTATGTTTAACATAAATCATTCTATAATATTGCGCGATTTTCTTCATTGTTTCTGGTGGGACAAGTTTGAACTCTACCGATCACAGCTTCTTACTTGAACCGATTTGTGATGTCAGTAAAATTCAATGTCCTCCACAAATTTATACTGCTAATCTCGTTTACTTTAGCTACTTTTATCCTATGATTAGTTTTAAAATCTCTGCTGATACTGTGGTGTACGCTACTTATGTTTACAGATATAAGTAGTACGTAATAACAATCAGATGCGAGGACCCTGAAAGATGGCTAGGAAGATCAAGTGGAAGAAGAAAAACAGAGACGGGAATAGAAAGAAGTTGTGACTTAGATAGATCATACAGAATGTGAAGGACAAATGATAGACTTTTTCAAATGAAGCATTTGATACATGGTTCTCAGATTTTACCAATAGATTCTGTAATTCTTTGCTAAGAAAAAAATTTGGTTATCCGCACCTGTGTTTTCGTTCATTACAATACAATTTTTTACTTCTTTAGAATTTTACGTTTTTATGCCTTTTCTCTATATAGCGAACTAAACATTAAAGTTGGTTACCGTTTCATACAAAAAAGATGAGGTTTAAGCATTAATATATATATATATATATATATATATATATACTGTCGTTAGAAAATAAATGGTCAGTGGGAGAATTATAAGCCGAAATAGGGGGACGCTTGGTACCTTATATATGTCATAGACAATTTAAAAACATTTATGAAAATCCCTCAGAAAAATAAACCTAAGAAATACCATAAGAAGCATTTAAACTATCTTTCATTACTGCTTTTATTAAAAAGGAATTTTTCCACCTGTTTCCCTATGGCAATTTGAACGTTTTGTTCGAAGCGTCTACTAAATAATTTGATCTTGAATTTGTAGACTAGTGAAGACTACAGTGACTGTTTCACTTAGGTTGGCTAGTGATCTCAATAACATCTAACATTCATCATAATCCACATACTGTGAAAAATATCAGAGTTCAGCTTTTTGTGGCCCTTTATCTGACTCCAATTAGATTGTATAAATGATTGCTGTCGAAATATACATCCTGACTATTCTCTTATATACTTGTCGACTTAATCCATGTTAGTGAATAACGGAATTAAATAAGTCAAATATGAGAATGGACTTTTGTAGTACGTATATTTCGTACAATTTTTGATCGAGACAAACGAACGAAGAAACGAAGCGAAGACAGTGAAGAGAAGAGAGCGGAGCGAAATGATGCGTGGTGGAGAAGACATGTGAGCCAACCCCATTTAACGAAGAGTTAATCGAATTTATAGTCGAACAAAAATAAGTTACAAACATGTGATGAATTGCATAAGTTGTACACACACACATACGCTCAAATAAAAACAGTCAGGGTTAATAAGTGAATAATTAACAAGGTCAAAACGTGACTCAAGATGAATGGATAAATTGGCCTGTCCAGAAGCTAGAATAAGCTATATAAGCTTAACATAGTAACCGACATTACAAGCTGATCCATTAATAACCACATATGTCCACTTGAGGAAATAACCAGCTGATCAACAATCTATTATTTGAATCCAAATAGATGATAGCACCAACAGGAAGTGTTATCGTTTGGATCAGTACGAAATCATAAGGAATAACAATTTTTAAGTGAGTCTTATTATGTTTTATTATTTCCCTTAGCACTCATAAAAAAAATTACCGCCATTATATCTAAATGATTCTAACTCAAACTTAAAAATGGTAAGTCTTGGACACCGAAAGTAGTTAGACTAAGAAACATATTAACTTCGATCAGTTGACGTATAAATATCGGGAAAGTAAGCATTTTATTAATGAACTTAGTATAATAATATATTATACCCGGGTGGATATAAAAGTTGGTACAGAATGATGAGATCATAAAATTTTCTATTGAAAGTGTTATGAATTTTTTTTACTCTACGAGTATCACTTATTGTAGCCAACAGATTGAACAGGGATATTATCATTGTTTCTGATTACTACATTACTTAGTTTTAAAGGGGCGGGACAGTTCCAAGTTTCTCTTATTTTTGTCATTCATATTAAATTTAATGTAAATTGACATCTGGGGTTGTTTTTTTTAGATGCAATGTAACCACATAGTTGGTCAATCGAATGTCATAGTGAATGTTTCTAGCAAATAAACTGTATATCAATCATACAATACCATGAATTCCACAGAACTCAGATACACAACTCTTTGTGGTGACTATCAGACTTATAGCTTGTTATCAAATCATTTATTAAAATCCCAAGAATAAAGAGTCATTGTATCACCTTATACTGGGTTTACAAGGTGATCTACTTTCTAAGATTTAAGTACACTGGTTCAGCCATAGTTTGGTCTGAATACAAAGTGAATGAGGGAGTTTCATTGCTTATACTGTATCAAACATTTCATTAGTTAGGGATGCTTAGCTTCTTTGAAAAACGTTTTCAGAAACTAAACAGTAATGAAAATGTGTATAGCCTTTATCAAAAGCAGAGAAATCTCAAAGACATTAACATTCCTTTCACCCTGAGTTCGTTATTTACTAGGATAATACATTTCACTCCATAAACCACTGTTATTATCTATTGTAGATTTTTCTATGTATTACATTAGATTTACGACTAACCTATTAGTCACTTTTCACTATCTAGTAGAAACTAGGGACAGAATAAAAGTTTTCAGTTTCAGTTAAATCCTTATTATTGTTAAATCCATATTCTCCCGTCTGCTTGTCATGCAAATAAACAAGATGAATTTGATTAATATCAAGTATAAAACAGTAACAAACCATACAATCAACAATTCAATTTTATGTAACTTTGTAGCAATCCTGTGGTGTATGCTACTTATGTCGATATATGTAGTATATAACACTAGTCAGAAGCGGAATGCCTAGCAGCAGGAGGTTTGGAAGATGTGAGCAAAGAGAACGGAAAAAGAGAGCAATCGTTAAAACAATGAAAGAATGATGAAGTTTTAACACACTTAATGAAGGATTTGCAAATGAAGTACTGAACGTATGATTTCTACATTTTACGGAAAATCTCTGTAATTTTGGATTAAGATACGTTTGTTTGTCCCCGCTTACGTTCTCATACATTACAATACCTTTGATTCTCAGTTAAAAGAGGGTAGTTTGGAAGATTATGTCACGATTGGAAATTTCAAGACAGTATTCAACTATCAAATTATTTTCGTTGTAATATTTCCACTGTCATTCTTTATTCATTAGAAATTATTTTATTCACTATACAGCTGAAGCGATCGCGATAAAAAAACTCAAACAGGATCTATGTAGTCAAAAGAAGACAATAATACACTTATTACTATCCTGGTAATTCTTTTTTCTGGTCATTAGTTTTATTTTGTTAATGTTCAGTTTGTGTTATATTCCTCTTCCATTACTGAATTCTTGAACCACCCTTCACTCATACATTTCCACTTACTTGATTCTCTTAAATTATGTGAACTCTTCAAATTCTATTCAATTACGTAACCCATCTTCTCAGTTTTCTAATTCCATGAACCTTATGTAAACTCTTCATTACCTCTAAACTTTTTCACACAATTTATATCATCTTTCTCTCTCTTTGAACTCCACTCAAATATTGTACCACCCATCCTCATTGTTTCCTTGATTCTAACACCAAATAACCTCTGACCTGTTCTTGCATATATACATGTAGTTATCATTGGTAACCCTTGTCATTCCAATCCTTTACATTCACTTATGTCAATTGTTCCACACTATTTCTTATCTCAAAGTAAAATTCTAGTACATAATTGATTGTAAGCAGCTGATGAGAAACCACGAAATATAACGTATTCATATTATTCAGCATCAATATTTGTTTTGGCTTTATTTATATACAGTTAGTAGTTCTTTTTATGAACGTATCTAATATTTTATTGAAATAGAATGAATAGACATTACTGAAAATTTATTAAAAATATAATTACATACAAGTACTTCAGAAAAGCAGCATGTTTTTTACAATAGGTTATTCCTCTCTCGTGAAAGCTGGTGCGCTCCTAAAGACCAAAAGTTACCTACAGACGTAACCTACAATGACTTCAGCAAAGCTTTTGACAAAGTTGCGCACAAACGGCTGTTATATAAGTTAAAAAATGTCGGAGTTGGATGCAATCTATTGATGTGGATAAAAGACTTCCTAGTTGGGCGCAACAAAACGTACGGGTGGACTTAAAGTTGTCTAGCTGGGGAACTGTGCTTAATGAAGTGCCTCAGGGTACTGTTTTAGGGCCACTGTTATTCCTTTTGTATGCAAATGACCTTCCTCGTCTCCTATCATCATCAGTCTCGTTATCTGCTGACGGTGTCAAGATTTGGAGAAAAATACAATGTAAGGGTGATAGCTTAGAACTCCAAAATGACCGGAAGAAATTACCTGAAAGGTCTCAAACCTGGTAGTTGCCGATAAATACTTTCAAGTGTATTGTGATGCATACTGGTCATCAAAGTACAGATACATACACGATGAATAACACTAAGCTACCTGTTGTCCAGACGTACAATGACTTCGGAGTCATCGTTAGCCAAGACTAAAAGACTACTGCATACTGCCGTGCAATAGCCGTCAAAGGCTTAAGAACCCTCTGGTCAATACGTAGAACGCTAAAACTTTTTGACTTTGTATACAGTGTACATGGGTACTAAACTTGAGTACTGCATACATGCGGCTAGCCCCTGCTTAAAAAAGACGGTAAGCTTTTGGAAAATGTTGAGAGAACAGCAACTAAGCTGATTCACGAAATAGCGAAGCTCCCGTATCATACTCGACTGGCCAAGCTAAAACTATTCCCGTTGTCATATCGAAGAACTAGAGGCGACTTAATTAGTTTTCAAATTGCTTAGTGATAAATTTGCATCTGATATGCCCTCATTCTTATTGTCTTCCAGGGCAGAGAATTTACGAGAACATTCCATAAAAGTTCACAAGCTCAGAACAAATTATTTGTCAGCTGACTATCGACTTTCCCATCGAATTATCAACGAGTGGAATTCATTACTTCAGCACGTGGTTGAGACTCCATCTGACAACTCTTTCAAAAGAAAGTTGGATCAATTGAGAGACCATCATTACCAAGACTAACACATGTCATCAAGCTTCCTGTCCTTTCCAAACTGAAACTATAACTGATTCTGAACAAATATTTTATCTTATGGTAACTACTAAGTATATTAAATTGAATGTCACTTAATACATTTAACATCACAATACATAATTAATTCTATCTAGTTCTGATAGGCTTTTCATAATACTGAAGTCTACTTTGAGAATAACACAAATATGACGTTGTAGAAAATGTGTATTATTTAATATTTATTGAAATAAAGTTTAAAACTAGTTTTATTTGTTCACAAAAGACATACGTAGGTTATGGCATGGTTAAAAAGGTTGATAAACTTATAGGTTTTGGAAAGTACGCCACAAATTTCTCAGTTCTTCTGGGTTATACGTAATTTGTCTGTGCTATGAGATATCTTGATATTAGTTTATTGTTGGGATCAGGAGACAAATAATTAGCTCAGATGCTATAGCTGGGTCGAGATACTGAGTCAATGAACCGAATCCAAACAATAATAAACGTACTTTTATAATAGCAAAAGATAAAGAGGCGAAACCTAAATATAAAATTGATGTTACTACATTAGATTTATGGAGAATAGAAGATGAAGAAAAACTTACGTGGAATAACATTTATTTTTGTTGCTGAACTGGTGGACATTTGTCTTTTGTCAAATTCGTATGAAACACGGCAGACATATATGCCTGATTCATGTACTTTGATGTGGCCCAATTCTAATTTCCATTGAGTTCCAACTAATGTACCATTTGGATTACGCCATTCGTATCGAAATGGACCAGCACCATCAGGTTTCTCATCACTACTTACATTGCATAAAATACGAACCAAAATTCCTTCTTCGACATCTTGAGTTATGATGGAATCAGCTACATAATAAAATGGGACAAATATAAAAATTTAATATATTGTTATAAATTAATATTATTTTAAAACCATTTCGGTACTTACTTGATCCTAAGTAATAGGTATTAGTTATTTATTCTTTTGTTGTTTTGTTAATTTTACTGATAATAAGTAACAATAGAAAGAAACTTCAGTGTATAACAATATCTTTAGTTACATCATTCGAATAAAGATGAAAGGAAAGACTACTCTTTAAAGTGAATAATATTTGAGATTAAATTTCTATTTAGGTATTAGCTTTAAAACCTTCAGAATAGCCCATGATATTTTGTACGTGGCGACTTCAGAAATAGTTTCGCATCAATTCAATATATCATTTCGTATTACACCGCAATCAGTAGATGAAGATGCTTTTTTATCGTGATTTACACAAGTTATTTCCTATCATCTAGATAATTCATAGAATTAAACTGATAAGCTCTGTGAAATGTGGATAAATGTTTGGATAAGCTTAATCAAATAGTTGAGGTGTATGCTACTTATATCGACAGACATAAGTAGTATGTTACACTAGTCAAAAGTTGAACGGTTGACAGAAGAAGGATAAGAAAACAGGAAAATGAAAAAGAAAAAATTGTGAATTGGAAGAATCAGACAGAATGTAAAGGATAATTGGTGAAAGATTTACAAATGAAGCACTCAATGTATAGTTCTTATATTTTACGAAAATATTCTGTAATTTTATGATAAACGATAAATTGTTTGTCCCCACCTAGGTATTCGTTTACTACAATATTATAGAAATATATTCCCATGAAAAGACTCGACTGTCAAAACTATCGATTGATTTAAGATATAACTTCACAATCTAACTTGAATCACTTCATATAAACTTCAGTCATTACAAGTACAACACTAACACGTTTGATTAAAGAAGTCAGTTCAATCAGCAACAACATAGAGCTTTATACGTACGTATATCAGTTCGAGTTGCCACACCAAAACAGCACAGAGATACAATTGCTGATTCAAATCCCATAATGGTGGAGGTAGTAAAAGTATAAGCAGTAATAGGAAAGATTAAGGTTTGATGTTATTCAAGGAGTATAATCCAGTGAAATAAATTTGGAAAGAGAAAAAAAGAGACAAGGAGAATTCAGGAGGTTAAAATTCGGGAGAACGCAAAGAGTGGATGCACCTGAGCCATTGCAAACGATTTTGAGCCATGTCATTCAGGGTCTCTAACCATCGGTTGCTATCATCTCGCGGTCCCCAACCAGGTAGTCTACACCTACCAACATGACAGTCCACTTGTCAGTGACTTCATGGATTTGTGCCATGCTTTGGTCTGGCCGCCCCTATCTTTTTTCTAACCTATTTCTACACCATGAAACGTCGCAAGTCGGGGCAGTCAGCGGTTGGGCATACATAACACATGTCCCAGCCATCTCAACTGATGAAGTTCCACTACTTCATCAATCGATTTGTTCTCCTTACCTAGTACCCGTTCCCTAACAACTGCATTACTTACTCGGTGGTTCTAGGATACACGAGAAATGTTTCAAAAACACCTATGATTAAACAACGTAAATATTGAACTGAATTTCCATTAAAGATTCTATAGAAATAGTTCGTCAAACTGTTGTAATAAAGCAGTTGTAATCAAAATACACTTTTTAAACTTCATAAGAAATTAAGCCAGAATACTAATCTTACAGGAAATTAGATTCAGAAAACTTTAAAATACAAAAAAACAAAACAATAGCACAATAGTTATAATTGTAAATTATATGTACCTTAGAAAAAAAGGTAAAGTTAAGCAAAAATGGGAAAAAAAACTTCTACGAAATATATAAGAAGGGTTATAAACATAAATCATCTGTTAGAACACATTTTTGACAAGTAATTTTACATATTGGCTAGCATATCCTAATTATTGTTACTAATAGTAATTTATTAATCTGCTACATCTTTTTACCGGTTTATATTCATTAAAATAAATTAATCAGGAGAACAAATTTTACGGACATATTTATTTCTTGTATCAATAATGATGAAATAGTGAAAAAATATATATATAACAAACGTAGGTAAACTAATCAAAATTACTGAAGGAAAAATATTGTTTTGCCAAGATGTTGTATCTTCGTGAGTTTTATTTTAAGCATACTTGTTGTGAAATTAATTTGTAATGTATAAAGCGAAATATTAGTTTGATTTGAATCTGTTAGATTGTGTTTTGAACTTGAAGTAAATGTGATAGTATCACTAGGCTATGAGTTTTTACGGTTTAAGTATTAGGCATTTATGATGAAATGGTAGAATTATAATCAATCAACAACTATTCTCACTACATGCATGGTTCAACCATATTTATTTGTAACTGGTTGAGAATCTGTTTGAAGATCTATCAAGGCCAGTTTTCCGGACAAATACGATAATTTATTCATTAAAAACTAAAACAAGACATTCATTAATTAAATATCTTATTAATTTGCGCTTCGGAATACCGTATTCAATCATAATTGCCTTCTAAAGCAAAGTGGATAGTGGCTAGTAGTGAAATCAAGGACGCGCGTTTTGTCCTCTTTGAGACTCGTCTGTTGGATGTGCCTGCATCCCAGAGTCCCAGAATGAACATCCACTCTGAATTGCAGATGTATCCAGCTGACGAGTCCCAAATAGGACGAAACGCGCGCCCTGAATTCCACTGCTAGCCACTATCCATCTTTTCTTTAAAAAGCTTGCGACTTAAAACTATATCGAGGCATTTCGCACAGGATGAACATATGCTAACGAGAGTCTGATCGATTGCAGTCCTAAATAAAATTGGAAAGATACAAGTAGAACTACACCAAGTGAACATAATCGCCTTTGTTTTGTTGTTCTGACTACTGACATATACAAAAGGATACACAACTGTGCAATAAGGTTATAGAAACTTATTAATTCTTTTAGCTGAATCCTTCACTTTAACATGAACACTCGTGATTTCGGGTATTCAAGTTATGTTTTTAGTGATACATAAATACTTTATATTATCCAACAAAAAGAACCATAATCCATTCACACAAGTTATAACTGGGTAATATTTATGAAAAGTCAATATTTTTTTGTATATCTTCATTCAGATGGCTAACTGTTTTATCTTCTGAAGTGTATTCAATTAGGGTTTGACAATCAGTTCTGCTATTAACATTATTGATTCACTCACTTTATTTGTATTAATGGCATTATTGTTCCACGAAGATGCCATAATATATACATTTCTCTTAATAATTTATTTCAGTCACTTTCATGATGGTTAAAATATGTATTAACAGTTCATTTACATAATACGAATATGGTAAGTCAGTCAGTCAGCTACAACGTAGGACTAGGCACATATATCCATTGGTCCAAGTTGCCATACCTCATTAACACAACAAGATGGACACCGGATTTATAGGAGTAATTAATTCAGTTGTGGTAATATATAAAAGAAAGATTGCAATAAGGATATAGAACAGAAAGAAAGAATTACTTCGTAGAAAGAAAGATATGAAGCGATTTTAATCTCTTAGTTTAAGGGAAGACAGAGAGTGTATATACTGACGCCATTGTGATCGATTCTGAGCCACGTCACCAAGAGTCTCCAATCATTGGGTACGATAGTCACGCGGACCCTAACCAAGTAGTCTGCATCTCCCAACATGGCCAAGAGTAGAGGTTAGTGACTTCAAGCACTGATGCCACGTTTTGGTTAGGCCGCCTCTCTTAAAGTATGCAACTAACTGATCTAAAAGGAATGTTTAGCAAAAAAAGATGTTATTATCATTTTTGATTCATTAAACATTTTAAAAGTTGGGTTACTTCATGTCGTATGATGGAAACCAAAAACAATTTACCTGAAATTCCTACTGTAGGTTAATTTTGAAAAGAATTAGTGTATTCTGAAAAGAAATCAATCCCCATAGTTGACAGTGAACTATTGATTTATTGCTAAATATCTTAGTAGTAGTTTGCCCACAATGAAATTCATGATTAGCATGATTATAGTCAATGTAGGGTAAGAGAGGTAACAATATAACCTAATCCGAGATTATGTGATCTGTGGAGTGTTATAAATTAAGGTATAGTTGAGTTCTAAATAGATTGTTTTAGAGCATAAGAATAAAAACAACTAAGTAACACAAATTTATTTTGAAAAAAAGAATAACATTTCTTAAATTGATAGAAATGTAGACCGTTGGATGCCAACTCGGTGATATGAAAATCAATCGCTCACCACAGCATCTGACCGTCGTGAATTCTTACGTGTTCGTGGATGTACACTTCTTCAGAGTATTAAAACAGGATAAAATAGCTGCCAAACGTTTCCTGTTTTACAATGGTTGTCTAACGTGAGTTTACCTGTAATGTGAAACTTCTAATAACAATCCGTTTCGCACTCAATTTTAGTTCATATACTTTTGAGGGTTACGTAATCTCCGGGCAAACTTTATTATAGTTACCAAACGTGTTTCATTACTTCTGTGACGATATCTCTTATTAAGTCCCAGATACTTTTATTGTTTAGTATTATTGGACTTCGCTCGACAAGTCCCCAAATCAGAACACGCTTGAACATGAACATCATATTTCAAATGGAAGTAGGAATGCCAATAAGAAAAATTGTAGTATATTTATAATTTTTACACGAGAATATTCTAGAGTCCTTTGCAAGTATTCGCTAATGCTGGTTGACTGAGAAACAGCCAGTCAACGTGTCCAAACACAACCCTCCACGGAATATGCTTCAATCCAATCTATAACTTGCTAACAAGGATATAGTACAGGAAGAAAGAATTACTTCGTAGAAAGAAAGATATGAAGCGATTTTAATCTCTTAGTTTAAGGGAAGACAGAGAGTGTATATACCGACTTATTGTGATCGATTTTGAGCCATGTCACCAAGAGTCTCCAATCATTGGGTACGATAGTCACGCGGACCCCAACCAAGTACTCTGCATTTACCAACATAGCTAAGAGTAGAAGTTAGTAA